CCTGATTGATCGTAAAATGCTAGTTTAGAAGGAAGAACCACCGTACGACCAAAACGTGTGCGTTTGTGTGTGTGAGTGGTTGTAGGGGGTTGCAAGGGGTTGCGAAGAAATGACACTGGGATCCCACATAGGCTGTGTAGGAGGAGTGCTCGGCGATGGATCATTCTCGGGAACAGATGCGTCGGAAGATTGCTGAGACGGGAGAAGTTCGATGTAAACAGGTTTTAAACGATCGATGCTTACGGAGTATTTGCAGCCATTTCGGTCCAACATAAAATACTTGTCTTTGCGGTCGATAACCTCGTAAGGACCCTCGTAGGGTGGCGTCAGAGGTTTATGAACTGTATCGATGCGCACAAGAACGTAGTGACAATCGTGAAGATCAGGATGGACCTGCGGGTTACGAGGCGTGAGTCATGGAGGTGTTGGGCATACCGAGCTGAAGTGACTCCTCAGGAGTGTGACATAGGATTTAGGATCCATTTCTTTTGTGACCCTTGAATCCAACACCATCTCTCCAGCAAGTCTAAGTGGGGTGCCAAAAGCTAACTCAGCAGGGCAACAGCCTATGTCTTCCTTGACCGTGTTACGTATGCCAGGTAGAATTATCGGTAAACGCTCCGACAATTGCGTGCTCGACTGCGAAGTGGTAATCGAAGCTTTCAGTTGGCGACTGAAGCGTTCGACCAAACCATTGGCAGCTGGATGGTAAGCGGTTGTGCGTATGTGAGAACAACCGAGCAAACAACTTAGGTCACGAAAAAACGAAGAAATGAACTGCGGACCTCTGTCTGTGGTGATAGTAGCAAGTGCGCCAAGGAAGGAAATCCACGTTTCGATGAAGGTTCGCGCTACTATTTCAGTGGAAACGTCCAGTAATGGCACTGCATGCGACCAACGTGTAAGTCTATCAACACATGTCAGCAAGTATTGAAAACCGTTGGAAGGGAGCAAAGGACCAACGATATCCAAATGGACAAGCTTGAAGCGAGCATCCGGTAGTGAAAAGGTGCCAGGGACAGTGATAGTATGGCGATGGATCTTGCTGGTCTGACACGTAACACAGTGCTTTGCCCACTGTTGGATGTCAGAGCGCATGTTGGGCCAAACAAAACGATCTGTGATCAACTTAACAGTAGCCCGAATACTTGGGTGCGTAAGTCCGTGGAAATGATCGAAAACGACTCGGCGGTAACATTGGGGAACGTAGGTTCGGGGCTTACCCGTAAACATGTCACAGTGAACTTTGGAGTCAGAGTTAAGAAGTGGCAGAAGGGTAAGTTTGATCGAAGGGTTGGATTTCATTTGCATAAACTCAAAATCTCCCTCCTGATGAGCAGCGATTTCCTCTAGATCAAAGGTCGGGCGTGAAAGTTCTTGAATTCCAATGCGGGACATTGCGTCGGCTACCACATTGTCAGTGGCGTCTATATGACGAATGTCAGTAGAGAACTGCGATATGTAATCAAGGTGTCGGGTTTCACGAGGGGAAAAACGGTACAAAGAATCACGAAATGCAAAAACAAGTGACTTGTGATCAGTTAGAATGGTAAATGAACGACCGAAGGTACTATACCTAGTTTGTGTGGGTTGTTATTTACGGGAGAAAAAGGATAGTGGTTCGGGATGACCATTGATGAGTTGCTGCAGAACGGCTCCAACTGCGGTTTGTGACGCATTGGTTTTAGGGAAGAGAGGTATATTAACATCAGTCCGTAAATGGCTCAATGCTGTGACGTTGGACAAAGCATGTTTGATCTTGTCGAAAGCGTCTATTGCTTCGTCCGTGGGTTTGAATTTTCGAGTCTTTCCTTTAAGCAAGTCGGTTAAAGGTTGAAGCAGTTTAGCGCAGTCAGGTATAAAGCGGCCGTAATAATTCACCATACCGAGGAAACGGCGCAGGCTTTTGTAGGACTGCGGCATCGGATACTCCGTGATTGCTATTGTTTTCTCCGGGAGTGGACTGATTCCGGTGTGATCAATTCGATGACCGAGAAAATCAACACTGGACTGGCCAAAGACACATTTGTCCACGTTGGTGGTAACGCCATAGTGCTTAAAGCCCTCAAAGATTTGGCGAAGATGAAAGAGATGTTCTTCGAGGTTAGAGCTGGCCACGAGAATGTCATCGATATAAGCAAAAACAAAATCAAGTCCGCGGAGAACCTGGTCTATGAATCGTTGAAATGTTTGTGCGGCGTTTAGTAGTCCAAAAGACATACGGACAAATTCAAAAAGACCGAAGCGGGTGGTTACAGCTGTCTTGGGAATGTCATCAGGGGCGACAGAAAGTTGGTAATATGCCCGGACCAAGTCAATCTTAGAGAAAATTGCTTTGCCGTCTAGGCCAATAGAAAAGGCCTGAATATTTGGTACCGGATACCTGTCAGGGACAGTGACATTATTAAGCTGACGGTAATCACCACAAGGTCGCCAATCTCCAAGAGACCTTTAGGGGACCATGTGCAAAGTTGAAGACCATGGGGTATTAGAAAGCCGGACAATACCAAGACGGAGCATCTGCTCAAACTCGGCTTTGGCGTTGGCCAGTTTATCGGGTGGTAGTCGGCGAAGTCGAGAAGTGACCGGTGGTCCACGAGTAACGATGTGGTGCACAATCTCGTGTTTAGGTGCGGGACAATTATTGGACGGCAGGTACAACGCGGGGAACTGTGGGAGTAACTCAGTAAATACAGCGTTAGTAGGTAGAGTCATGCAAAGTCCGATCGAGCTGCTCGAAGTGGCTCTGCCCGGAGTGGTGAGGGAGATGATACTGTCACGAAGTTCCCTGTTACGTAAGTCGACAATAAGACCAAACTGAGTGAGGAAATCGACACCGATAATGAGACGTTGTACATCTGCGATCAGGGAAACGAAAGAAAATGTTCGTCAGAGACCAAGATCGAGAGTGAGCAATTTCTGACCGAAGGTCTGGATTTGGTGTTATTAGCCGCCTGGAGAGCAGGTCCTGTGGGAATGAGGTAGCGTTTTTCTATTCCACGAGTCAGAACGCTGACCTCGGCTCCAGTGTCAACCAAGAATGAAAGGTTGGTTGTGGAATCACGGACAAAAAGCAAGCGACTAGAAGATGTGCCAGCCGAAGTCGTCGCCATTACTGGCTGGCTGGGGCGTTTCCCCGTTTGAGCCTTCGGGAAGGCTTTCGGATGCGAGCAACCAGGGCGGCAATTTTTAGCGGCATCACCAAAACGTCTATGAGAATAGCAAATATGCTGTCTAATGTTCCTAGCGTGTCTGTTTCTGCTTCTGCTTCTCGAAGTGGATCTAAAACTTCGACTGCGGGGGCGTCGTCCTCTCTTAACGGCGAGTTCGAGTATGGACAGTCTCTGACAAATGGATTCAATGGGATCTGATGACGAGGAAGTCTCAGGTGGGGTGACAACAGGGTGACAAACTGGGCGTTGAAAGAAACACTCATGAACTTTGTCGGCAGTTTCTGCTAGTTGTCAAGTGACAACTCGTCAGCGGATACAGCGAGAATCGCCGTAGTGTTGAATGGAAGACATTTTAGCCACAATTGACGTAAGACACTGTCGTCGACTTTAGAGGAACCTACGAGAGAGCGCATATAACGGAGAAGCTGTGAAGGTGAACGAGCACCCAGTTCAACTCCGGAGAGAAGTTGGTGAAGTCTGCTCTCATCAGAAGCTGTAAGGCGTTTCAAAACGGTAGCCTTAAGCTTATCGTAGGGGAATCAGTAGGAACAGGGTTGAGTAGGTCAACCACATCGGCGGCTATGTGTGTGGGAAGATGGGCAGCGACGTAGGAAAACATAGAAGTTTGAGAAGTAATCCTACGGAAACGGAAAAGAGCTTCTAACTGTAAAAACCAGACGTGTGCACTGTTAACGTCAAAAGCGGGTAGGGAAAAACCAACAAGCTTTTCAGAAGAATCAATGTAGGGAGTGGTACTGGACGACATTACGCAGGCGAAAAATGTTCCAGTAGGAAAAAAGAAAGCAGGGATCACAAACTACGTAGTGTAGTGAAAACTAGTCTTAGACTACCCCACCGGAAGAAAAGGATTAGTGTCAGATAAAAATATCAACACGCTGACCTTCAATAGTGACGGTTGGACTAACCACTGATATTGCACACTCCCTGATACGTTATTCCAGTGTTCGTTCCGCGAAACTCAGACTTTCCAAGCACGCGAAGGAAGCAGCCTTAACACGCCGCCGAAGGGAAGCAGAACGCGCTGTTCGAGGTCGAGAATTGTGCATATGAAAAACGGTCAATTAAAACAACGCTACAAGACGCGTGGAGAAACGAAATGAGAAAAGCGCAAAAAATGAAAGCTATGAACAATACATGTGTATTTTCCAGGCCAAAATGTGTCAGCTGATCCGAAAGGTCTCCTGTGTTACTCAGGTAGACCTGGCTCTTTGGGGCTTGATATAAACTTCGAAACACTTAGAGGCTTAAAAAATAATAAACTCTATATTCCTAGTTGTTTATATGGCTCAGTATCCACCGAAAATTTTATTCTGTGGACTTCTAACCGCAAGTAAATCATAATCTCTCCTGAATTCCCATGTAGACATAATATTCCTTACTGGATTTCTAGCGTTTTCGCGCAAACGTATACCTTATTTGCGTATCTTGGCCATGAGTGCCTGCAAAGTGTACCTTTCGGCCACCTACGCAGTCCCTACTTGTTGCAGGGTATTACGGGCTAATTAGAGCATTTCTGGATAGCTATGCCAAATTCGAACATATACTGCTTCGCCACTAGTTACATTTTATTTTCTTGTCTCTGCTATCCGCTTGCAAAGCAGAAAGCCAATTTTAGCAAAAAAGAATAACGGCATTATTTGTAGATCATTTAACAATTGCAAATAACTCGCAAACTACTTCAAGTATGGCATCAATTATACTTTCAGCGTAATCAGCGGTTAAAACTTGTCCTCAGCAGCCTATTTTTGTGCTACTTTACGCAGTATTCTAACCTTAGAATAGCTTTTTATTTTTTCCTGAGATTTACTGTAACGGTTCCGTCAGAGCAGGTTTGAAATGCCGAGAGACGATCGGGCTGAAATGGAGCGCACAGTAAACACACACGACAGTAACTCGACTAGTCTATGAATGCGTTAACACATGCAATCGGATGAGGAAGGAGCGTCACGATATCCAGCGAACGCAGCACGAAGAGATGCAACCAATCGGGCAGTCACCGACCACGGAAGGAAGAACACGACGGGAAGCAGCAACGTGTCTCTGACAACCAAAAACGAAGGTACAATCAAAACAAAAACGCAAGTCGTTCAAAAATGGTATAAAAGGTCCGTAGGTGCGTCAAATGGGAAATATGTTCATAACGATTCATTCATTGTTCAACGTGTTCGAGTCTGAAAAAGGAAAGAAGAAAGAGAATTAAAAGTGGCGGTTCGTTCAAAGTCCCATTACAGTTTCGGTTTCGTTACACTGCCCCCTCCTGCATTGGGCACTGCCCTCAGTGCCTCCGTGTCTGCTGCCGTAGCCATCCCGCCTTCGGGTGGTATCTCTACAGTTCCTTCCACCATAGGCAGGCATCCCGGGGGAACTATTCCGTCTGATGGTGCAGAGTTCGATGACGAAGTAGCTGGTTTCAATTGATTGTAATGAACAGTTAAAACGTCTGATCTCGGCTCATTGACACTCCGAATTACATATACCGTGGGGGAACGGATAAACACAATTTCGTAAGGGCCTTGCCATTGGCGATGAAATTTACTGGACGCGCCTGCAGGAGGCTTCGGTCGGTGCAGCCACACATGATCTCCTACGTGGTATTCTGGCCCGAGACAGCGCTGGTCATAACACTGTTTTTGGCGGTTTTGCGCATTTCTCATGTTTAGCTGGACGCTGAGGAACGCAGATCGAAGACGCTCCCGTAGATCGCGTACATAGTCCAAGAGAGAACAAGCCTCTAGCGGTGGGATCGGAGACATCAGTTCTACCGGCAACCGAAGCTCTTGACCGTGTGTCAGATAAGCTGGAGAGTAGCCCGTGGTTGCATGCACTGCCGCACGGTAAGCCATCATGCATTGTGGTAAAAGCTCATCCCAACGATTCGTCTGTTGTCGTTCAATAAAAGTTTGGAGGATTCCTTTGATAGTTCGGTTCGTACGTTCTACCAGTCCGTTTCCCTGGGGGTGATAGGGTGTAGTCCGCGTCTTCCTGATAGAGAGCAGCCGACAAACTTCGCGCATCAGTTGGCTCTCGAAAGCAGCGCCCTGATCTGAATGAAGTGACAATGGGGCGCCATATCGAGCAACCCATTCGTTTACAAAAGCGGATGCGACCGTTGCTGCATCGGGTTGTTTGATTGGAACTGCTTCGCACCACTTCGTAAAGTAGTCGACGAGGACTAAAATGTGTCGATTCCCATTCGCCGTGATTGGGAGAGGGCCCATCAGATCTACACCAATGCGTTGACCCGGTGCGGTAGTGACCATGGGCATCAGAGGAGCTCGCGGTACGGTTGCAGGTGACTTCACAGAAGTACAAATGTCGCATTCGTTGCAGAACTTGGTAACATCGGCGTGTATCCCCGGCCACCAGTAGCGTTGGCGTACAGCAGCTTCCGTCTTCCTCTGACCCGCGTGGCCTAACTCATTGTGAACTTTCTGTAAAACAGGTGGTATTCGCACCGTCGGAGTAATAAGTTTCGGACCAGACTTATCCAGCAAATACAAAACTCTACCGATGGCCTTCAAACTACCCCAATGTCCCCAGAGCGCACGTTCCTCCGCTGATCGAGATTGCATTTCGATCCCAGAAGGTTTCGACGATCCATCCAGTTGACGCTTGTATATGTTGGAGATGTAAGGGTCATCAGACTGGTCATTGGCCCATGCTTCATCCACCTCTAGATCATGTAAAACCGCGTTCACTTCGTCCGATGCAGGAAGTCTGGAAAGCGCGTCTGCATTGGCATGTCGTGCGCCGGGCCGGTATTCACATGTGAATTCGTACTCTTGTAACTGTTCTTGCCATCGCGCGACTTGTCCCTCAGGGTCACGGAAGTTTCGAAGCCACTGAAGAGATTGGTGATCCGTTCGAACCAGAAACGGTTTTCCAATGAGGTATGGTCGAAAGTATCTGAGAAACTTGACCAAAGCCAGTAACTCGCGTCTGGTGGTGCTGTACCTGCGCTCCCGTTTGTCTAGACGGCGGCTAGCGTAAGCAATCACAACTTCGCCACTTGATGTTTTCTGTGACAAGACTGCTCCTATCGCGTCAGCACTGGCGTCTGTATCCAGCACGAATGGTCCCGCTGTATCAGAAACGTCAGGAAGGCCAAGAATTGGTGGTGATGATAGACATTCTTTCAGTTGTGTGAAAGCTCGATTACACTCATCGGTCCAAAGGAACTGTCGGCCCTTTTCGGTCAGGCGATGTAGCGGAGCCGAGATGGTAGCGAAATTACGAATAAACCTGCGATAATATGAGGCAAGTCCCAGGAAGCTTCGTAGATCCTCCACATTACGAGGTCGTGGCCACGATTGAACCTTTTCACATTTACCAGGGTCGGTGCTGATACCGTTTGGTGTGATGACATGACCCAAGAAAGTAACTTGGCTACGCAGGAATCGGCACTTAGAACCTTTCAGCCTTAGTCCGGCTTGCCGTAGCCGTTGCAGGACAATGCGCAGTCGGTCATTATGTTCTTCGACGGAACTGCCATGGACTATAACATCGTCCAAGTAAATTAGGCATTCCTTCGGCACAAGCCCTTCCAAAACCTTTTGCATCAGCCGTTGAAACGTTGCGGGAGCGTTTGCCAACCCAAAAGGCATTGTCTCAAATTCATACAAACCCGATGGCACGATAAAAGCTGTCTTGCCTCGATCAGATGGGCGGACCTCCACCTGCCAGTACCCAGCGGCCAAGTCGAGGGTTGAAAACCAACGTGCACCATGGAGCGCATCGAAAGTAGCATCGATACGTGGCAGCGGAAAAGAATCCTTTCGGGTAACCTCGTTCAGTCTCCTGTAATCTACACAGAGTCGTAGAGATCCATCTTTCTTTTTAACTAGGACGATGGGAGAGGCCCATGGTGACGTTGACGGACGAATAACGTGCTTCTCCAACATGTCCTTAATCATATTATCGAGTTGAGGTTGGTAGTGTATGGGGACTCTCCGGGCCGGCTGGCGAATAGGGTGTTGGGTGCCCGTGTAAATTTCATGCTGAATTATGCTTGTACGTCCAAGCTTGTCATCACCAAATAAATCCTCAAACTCTCGGAGCAAAGAACAAAGTTGCATCTTGTGTTTTAGAGGCAAAGTCGTATCATTATTTAAGGGATCGATTACGTCGGACATAAACGGTGAAGCTTCAGATGGTTCGAGCGAAACCGGACAGGAATGCAATGAACTCAGAGCGTCGCCTGTGCTGTTCCTTAACGGATCATGTGTCAAAGTAGCGCTGGAGAGGTAAAGAGTACTCGCGTGTTGGCCCAAAAATCCATTCCCAAGATGGCTTCCCATTTAAGGTTCCGACAGACTAAAAACTCGTGAGTAGCTGTGATTTTGCCCAAACGGACCCTGGCGATTAGGGAGGATACTACTGGTAGTTCAGACCCGTTAGCAGTAACTACACGTAGCCGTTTCATACGGAATGCTCGACGATCACCGAGACGACTGGCTACATCTAATCGCAACAGAGAACATGATGCTCCAGTGTCAATCAAAAAACGCAAAACAGCATCGTTCAGGAACCCAACCGTGGTCAACGGACTAATTACCGCATTACAAACAAAAGCAGACATTAAGTGTTTAGACCTACCTCGGGGTCTTCGCGGCCTGATCGGGGGATTGTGCCCGCAGTGTTGAGCACGCTTTCCAAACCGGTGGCAGTACCAGCAACTCGCGTTCGGCGGGTTCGGTGTAGGCGGAGTGGTTTTCATAGTTTCGTGTATCTTCGCTGTGGTGGGACCAATCGCATGGCATTCACGAATTCCAGGGGACTCGGAAGTGCTGTCTAGTATTTCCATTGCCTCTTGTGTCCGCGCATCCTTCAGCAACTCTTCGAGGCGGCATGGTAGTCTGCGCACCAACTCGTTACGAAGCGACTTGTCGCGCAAGCCCATACAAAAACGTTTGCAAACACAATTCTCCCGTGCGGAAGACGAAAGTTCGGGGAAAGCTTTCAGTGCGAGGTCTCTAAGCGCACGTGAGAACACATCCACCGTTTCGCCGGGCAACTGGTTGCGGGTAGCGAACCTCTCCTCGTAAATCACAGCAGGCTCTGATTTTACAAATAGACGGCGCAAAGCCTCCCATATCTCTGAGGAAGAAGACTTCGGAGTAATACCCGTTGAACGGATGAGGCGCAAAGCTTCGTCGCTCAGAAAGCTGAGGATAAAAATTCCGACATCTTTCTCGGGGATAGTGGATAAGTAGGCTGAGACCTGAAATTCCCAGTTTTCGAAGTCGTCGTCCGGCTGAAAAACTGGCGGCTGTCGGGGCGTTGGACGAAAACCATGTGAACATTCGTGTGTAAAACAGCGAACATTAGATTTTACTTCGGGTGGGCTGAACTCTTGGTTGTCCATTTGTGTATGATCCCACCTCTGACACCAAAATGTAACGGTTCCGTCAGAGCAGGTTTGAAATGCCGAGAGACGATCGGGCTGAAATGGAGCGCACAGTAAACACACACGACAGTAACTCGACTAGTCTATGAATGCGTTAACACATGCAATCGGATGAGGAAGGAGCGTCACGATATCCAGCGAACGCAGCACGAAGAGATGCAACCAATCGGGCAGTCACCGACCACGGAAGGAAGAACACGACGGGAAGCAGCAACGTGTCTCTGACAACCAAAAACGAAGGTACAATCAAAACAAAAACGCAAGTCGTTCAAAAATGGTATAAAAGGTCCGTAGGTGCGTCAAATGGGAAATATGTTCATAACGATTCATTCATTGTTCAACGTGTTCGAGTCTGAAAAAGGAAAGAAGAAAGAGAATTAAAAGTGGCGGTTCGTTCAAAGTCCCATTACAGTTTCGGTTTCGTTACATTACTCAGGTTGAAATTTTGCGCCAAAGAGCAATATCAGCGCAGGAAAATTTTGGCTATATTTTTTGTTATTTTGTATTTTTCTAGTGAAGCACGCCGCCTTAGTATATCTCTTAGCAAATTCTTTTTATATTCTTCTGCAGTTCTCGAAATTATTTTTTAACTTTCCGTTTCCCTTATAATTCCGCCACTCTCATTTCTTTCATGTGCCATCAACAATTGTGTCTACTGAGCGGGCAGAAAAATTCCAATGAATTTAAAGTAAACTTGTGGTGAATTGGATTCTGTTCTACAGAAAAAAGGCACAACTACCCCACTGCGCAGCTGTCACAACAAAAAACGAGGAGCTCGATATCGCCCGAATGAATCAGAAACATTTCAAGTTGGGCGCCTGCGACCGCATGAGCTGTATACCAAACAATGCCAATGCATTTGTAATTGCCAACGAGGAACATATACTCATACTTTGTCTACTTCCGTGCAAGAGCAACGGATAAATATAGCTTGATCTAAACCCTCAAAAGTGAAACATCTAGCCATTACAGAAATATACCTATTATGTATAAATTAATTTAAGTAGCTGTCACAACCAGTAGGTGCTTGCCAAGCAGCCAGCAATGGGCTGCTGTGCGCAGAATAATGAGATGTGGAAGGTCGCCAGAAGAGAGCTAAAAATAATTGAATGAAGAAAGGACAGAAAACAAGAATGCAAGCTAAAGTAGTCTGAGTCGGAAAACATCACTGAGAGAAGTGGACTACAATATAAGCAGGCGTCATAAAATTTTGAGCGGGTAATAGATATATGGACGCATAGAAAAGAGAGGATAAGATAAAGCTGTGTGCAGACCAGGGGAGGCAGGAAGGATTGCAATAAAGGGCTAAAATTTTAGATGAAACGACATCCAATAGGCGGAGCCTAAGCACACATCAAGGTGGTTAAATACTGCTCAGAGGCCAGCGTTTTCGCAAAATGCCTGCTGACAGTCATGAGGTGAGAGGCAGAGATCCGGCGGGGGAAATATTTATAACGACATGTTGAGGACAAGCATGCTTATTTCTTTTGGGTTGAGTGAGATCTGATGGGGAAGACGCTTATATGTGATCAAGGCCATTTTCCCACAGTTCGCCTTCAAGTCTGTTAATACTTAAAAGAGTAGAAACATGACTGACTGTGAGGTATATATTAAGTGATGCACGGAATTGGATTACGTTATCAGATGCCCGCACAGTGCGTGTGAGCCTATTCCAAACATACGCGTATCTGTAGAGATAGAAGTTTGTACGCGTACTACTGTGGGCTTTCGGCAGGATAACGGGCGTGCCTCGCACAGTCGAGAACAAATATTTATTTAAATATTTATCACGAAGGGGATACGAAAGGTTGCCTGATAATAGAAGGGGTCAGTGAGCTCGCAAGAGGATTATTTACAAGCAGCTATAAGAAGATGAGGTTGGTTTCCAGTCTGCGCGGCCATACAGGCTCTAGCGCGAGTTCGGTGACGGCTCACGAGTGTCGAGAGTAGAGTGGCCTAGAAGACGTTTGGTGAACGACCGTTAGACCCTTTCAATGGCAACTCGGTCGCATTTCCTAGAGTTGGTAAACACAATGGTATTCTAGTAGAGGTCGGGCGCAGGTTTTGTATAGAGCTGGCCTACATGCTTTCAATGCCATGGATTTGAGTATTGGGCTTATGAGAGAGCGTGCTTTTGCTGAGCAATGGCGCACTTGTTCAGCGAAGTTCAAAGAACTGGAGTAATGTACACCTAGGTCTCGAACTGTGAGGCTGGTACCAAGCGGGGTGTCTTGAAGCGCCAACGCCTTAGGCGGAACAATTAATCAGCATGTGAAGACATGGCATTTCGCCGGTAAAAATGCCAGGTTGCAAGTGTTGCACCAAACATCCAGCGCCCTAAGCTCGCTTTGACTCTGGGAAAACCCGGCTTGCATGTCTGGTGGGTGACTGGAGAAAACTATTTGGATATCGTCGGCAAACAGGCAGGACTTGCCATGTTGTATTACCTGGAAAACTTCACGGGTTTCACGGGTTTGCGCAGAACGAGTAAGCGTAGCTTTTTGGTGGTTCTGTCTCGGGATCTTACGGCAAGGTCCTGATCTCGTCGGTAGGTAACAGATGTTGTGGGTCTCGACGCAGTAGTGGTGTTCAGCACAAGAATTCAGCGAGTTGACTGTGGGAACGTGGATACCTGAAACAAGAGAGTGGTGTAGGTAAATTCGGCAAAGTTGGATAGAAGCAAAATGATGGAAGCGCCGCGTGTTAGCTTGGCAAGTGGCCAGATCTTAGCAACGTGGAAGACCAGCGAGGTAAGAGCCAAGCGTCTAGGCGCTGTTTGAAGGCCTCCGTATTGGGCGCTGAGACAACAGCTTCGGGGAGGGCGTTCCAAGCGAAGGCAGTACGCACACTGAAACTGTTTCTTCGGCACAGAAGGCGACTGCCACGAGTCAGCAGTTTGAGTGAGTGCCCTCGAAGATGATCTGTACGGGCGCGGACCAGCAATCCTGCGTTTGGGTGTCTGTTATTAGTCAGGACGGAATAAGCTAAGATAAGGTCGCCACGAAGCCTGCGATATTTCAACTGGAAGAGGTTAAGAGCCGCCAGACGCTCCTCATACGAGAAGTGGGATAGTCCGTCCACTCTCTTAGTGGCTCTGCGCTGTACAGTTTCCAGCATGGCCTCGTCCTTCTTCAGGTACGGCGGCTGGACAAAAATAGCAAAGAGTAAACGCAACAATGCGGACGCATCTTGCGAAATTCACATAAACCCTGTAACGAACGCCATAGGTCTCTGCTACCCATACCTGTGTTGCCATATTTTATTATCCTGGAATCTTTATCAATATATGTCAAGAATAGCAGTGGGCATATTATGCTGCACTTAAGACACCATTTGTGACTGGTTTGGGGAGTGATACAAACTCATCCACCTTTACTAATTGCGTGCGCGAGAGAGGTAAGTTTTGAAACACAAGAGCAGACGGTCGGAGATCCCTTAGGATTTAAGCTTTACTAATATTTTCGCGTCTGGTACTTAGTTAAAAGCTTATCTCATATCACGGACGATTAGGTGCAGTGCTTGGTTAGCATCAGTCTGTGTAGACACATTGTTACGATACTCAACTTGGCGAGTCTGACAAGATTTAGACGGTACAAAACCGCGTTTTTGTCTAGTGATATGGTTGCTGCTAAATAGAAAATTCAGCAAGTTTTCCTTACCTATTCTTTCCATCACTCTCGAGACAATAGGCGTGTGGCTGATGGGGCGGTAGCTTTCTATGTTTCGGCGGCTGCCTTGTTTATGTCTAGGGATAACTACGGAATGCTTTCACGTGGTTGGATACACGCCGTATTTAATTGAGAGTGGAAATAAGTTACGAAGTAGAACAGAAATGGCCTGGCCGCCGAGTGTCAGCCGTGCATATGGGAGACCATCAGGGCCAGGGTGTAGTGACAGCCTAAGTGACCTAATTACTCGGCTTACAGAACGTAGGTCGAAGGTTATTTCGTCTAGCGCGTCGTGGGTAAGTTTGGGCACAGAGTTGGCAAAATGAAGTTGAGGTCACTGAAGCAATCGCAGAAGTGGCTATTGAGAAGCACAGATATTTCCTTCGGATCGCTAAGTACGGACCCATCGGAGAGTCTTAGCGAGGTGATGGAAGTTGCCGTATTGTTTCTTTTTCAGTAGCCGAGTGCGGGACTTGGCTTTATTGTTGGTGTTATGGGCAGCGCACTCTTCAGCTTGCTTAACCATCAAATGAGAGTGCCGCCAGTTGTTTATGACTTTGTTCATGCAAACAAGGATATGGAAATCATGAGCCCTAGAGTATTGGTGACGCATTTTCCGGAGCATAATCAGCACCCTGTTTAGATGGAATGAACGCTTTGTCGGTTTCGACTTGTGGCTGTGCATTAGCAAAGCGACAAAGCCCTAACGGTTGTTGGTGTTTTGTAGAGTTCATGCGCGTCGGTGTTCACATCCTTCGACAACAAAAATTTATCCCAATTGACTGATAGGACAAGAATAGAAAAGTTATCCTTGTAAATGCTGCTGAACCTCCAAGATTCACTAGCTAGACTGGTTGAGAAATGTAGTTGGGTAGAAAGCGTAAATGATAGATGAACTACCTTGTGGTCGCTTCCTGGGAGGTTGTCTTTTATGCTAGTGACAGCATCCGAGAAGCCAAGCGTATATATTATGTCATGAGTGTTACAGAGCCTAGTCGGGACATGGTGGTGTTGAATCCAGTTGTTCGCATTTATGGTGTCAGCAAAGCCTCTGTATCTGACAGGTGCAATCTGGCCATTAAAAGAGATATGTGGCATATTAAAGTAACCACCCACTATCCTGTAGCGTGTGAACCTTGTGGAAGCTTCAATCAAGAGGTTTCCTAGCTTGTTATTCTTGAAGTTAGAAGCATGCGGGGGTTGTAAAGACATCCAATAAGGAGGTCAGTTGTACGCCCATTCATCTGGATCCAGCTTATATCCTCAGGGTCTCCAATTGGTAACAACACAAAGGCGGACACACCGAAGTCCTCCTGTAAGTAAATAAGGCATCCACCTTCGCGTTGGTTGATGCGTCCATTGCAGAACATGGTGGACCCAGGGATGTTTAAAGAGTTTTCAGGTGTGCTTGAGGAATGCCAGGTCTCTATGACCGGCAAAATTTGTGTGGAGGAGAGAAGAACAAATGGGCCGATGTATTGTATTTTGTTGTCAGTGGATCTTGCATGGATATGGAGCATAACGCAGGTTCGATTGCGTGTGTCCTTAGAGAGAGTGAAGTCGGGGTCGTGTGTAGTCTCCCTGCGTGTCACAACTGTGGAGTAAGTAAAGCGTGCAGCAGATGTTTCACGTGCAGGTAATACACATGTTGCGGTAGTTACCTCACAGAGGTCTGGGGAGATGCACT